CCCCTGAAAACTTAGAGGGACTCTCTGGAGTTGGGAGATGCTGAACAGCCCAGCCTGTGGCTTGGAGTTTGGGGGGGGGGGTGAGCTGACCATTCCAGAGAGGCCGCCCTGTTGGTCTCTTGCCTCTAGTCAGACTGAGACAGAAATTTTGATTTTTATTTGGGGATCCCTGGCACCCCATCTGGTCCTCTGAGCACCACCAGGAGTGACTCCAGCTGTGGTCCCAAAACAAAAAAAATATACAAATATTTAAAAAAAAACAAATGCTTTGGGGTACAGGAGTGATAGTTCAGTGCAAAGCACACGGGAACCCTGGGCTGGACCCCTGCACTGCGGGTCCCTTGTACCCCACCCAAAGTGGACCCCCACATTAGACCAGGAGTCGCCCCTGAGCACTGCCAGCTGCGATCTCAAAGGTGAAACCAATAAAACAGTCTTGTGTCTGATAGAGACCCGGCACCCTCGAGTCATCACCGCCCTTACAGGCTGGGCTGGACCCCCACCCCGACAGCCATTTCTGTATTTGTGAGGAATGTTCTGGTCTGGCCCTCGCCTGTGCAGCCCCAGTGTCCTCCCTTTGGTCTGCACCAGCTCCCGAGGCCAAGAGCCGCACCCTGGGCTGTCCCCTACCCCAGCAGGGCCCCCCTTGTCCTTGTGGCCATTTCCCACCCACAATGCCCCTCTTGGCTATGAAGTCAGTCCTGTGCCTCTTAGGTACAGGTGGTCAGCAGAGCTAGGCTCTGAGCTGCACTGGGCTTTGGGGACAGACCAATCACCCTAACATCTGGTCAACTAAAAAAAAAATCCCATAAATGTGTCAATCCGTCAGGAAAAAGGAAAAAAAAAGATTCTTTTGCAGGGAGGGGAGTCCCCAAGCCATGACCAAGGGGTTTCAGGCCATTCCCCACAATACTTAGCCAACTGGGCCAATGCAACTGTGGAGGTGGGCTTACAGTATCCATCCCACCAGCCCCTAATTATTTCTTTGCCCATTTGGGGGACACTTTTCCCTTTTTTTAAGTCGTTGTAGGGGCCGCCCTGGGCAGTGCAGGGAGGATGGGGGATGGGGAAGCGCCTTCGGGGTTCTAGGCGAGCACTCACACAGGAGCACTCAACATGGGCCTTACAGGCCCCAGAACCTGACACTCAGTGAAATGTGTCCCTCTAGCTGTGGCCCTGCTGAGTCCCAATGACAGTGTTTGGTCCACTGACCATGGTCTTGGCCTCTGCGTCGTTACTCATCAATCAGAGCGGGGACTGTGGGAGTGGGAAGATGGGCCCAGCTCAAAGGATTCTGCCTGTGCTTCGCAAGCTGGAGTGACAGATTCCGTTCCACCCAGTACCTGGGGGTGGGGGGCACGATGGGGCATGGAGTAGCCCCTGTGACACGTGCCCTCCTACCCCCCACCCCAGTGACTTATGTGAGGTGGAGAGAGAGACTCTTTCTCCCAACACCTCTGTCACCTGCACAGGCTGGGAAGGCTGGGATGGACAGTCTTGACAAGCCCCTGCACAGCACAGCCAGAGTCCCGCCAGCACGATGAGGTGGCTGTCAAGCCACACCTGATGTCACAGGAGTTGGTCCCCACCACCGGATCTCTCGGGAGGCGCAGGCTCAGGCTAGAGTGAGGAATTGCTCTTGGCAGGAAAGCCGAGCCAGTCCTAGGCCTGGCCCAGGCTTCAGGGTCCTTGCCCTCCTACAGGAAAGAATTTCAGGAGAGGACCAGTGAAGTACAGATTTTATTCGGAGGTTTTGTTCTTTTTTTCCTTTTGAGGGAGGGGAAAGGGAGAGAGAGAGGGAGGGAGAGAGATAGAGAGAGAGATAGAGAGAGAGAGAGAGAGAGAGAGAGAGAGAGAGAAATGTGCTCTAGAGGTGGAGAACCCCTACAAGTCCCAGCATTAATTAGGAAAGCATGAAAGTCCACATCTTGGGAGATGCAGGTTCACATGTGCCTGGGCACCACAATACACAGGGCAGCAGTACATGTGCGTGCTTCCTTTGTTCAAGTTGGCTTTTATAGGGTTTTTCCCAAGCTGCCCACGTGGTGTTTTCTACCAAAGGAGGTTGCCAAAGGAGTTGAGTTGGGATTGGTAGCTGGTCTTTGAAATTCATTTCTTGGCTTTTGTTCCTAGTGGAGCATCTCTCAGAAGGGGGTCTCAGCCTGTGTTCCTGTGCTCACAAGGTGGGGCCTGACCATCTTAGGGCTGGTTGGTCATTTCTTCCCAGGAGTTTCACTGCTGTGGGGGGACCCTCCCTAGCTACCGGTCTGCCTCAGCTGAGCACTGCCAGGTGTGGCCTGCACCCCCTCCCTCCAATATACAAACAACTATCAGAAGTGGCAAAGGAATTACCCAATTTGCAAGCAATTGGAGGGATGGTCCTGGAGAAAGGATAACTGTGTCCCCAACTGAAAGTGAACCCAACGCAGGGCTGAAGTAATAGCACAGTGGGGAGGGCGTTTGCTTTGTATGCAGCCAACCCGGGTTCAATTCCCAGCATCCCATATGGTCCCCTGAGCACCTCCAGGAGTAATTCCTGAGTCCTGAGCCAGGTGTAACTTCTGTGTATCACTGCGTGACCCAAAAAGCAAAAAAGCAAAAAAGAAAAAAAAATACTAAGGCAATTTGACTTTGCTATTCAAAAGCAGAGATTCTCGAATTTTTTTAAGCATCAACACCTTGGAAGAGCTGCTCAGGGCTCCAGCTTGCTCCAGGCTTCACTACAGCTGGGTGGGCCATAAGAATTTGCATTCTACTTTGAGAATCACTGCTCTTCAGTGATTCTCTAGAACACACCTAATGGATCCGTTTGACTAGCAAAACAGGATGTCGTGATTAGCATAGCTGTAGGAAGGAAAATGTAAATGAACACTATATAGCTGGTAGTGGCTGAGATAAAAGATGTTGAAGCTAAACAGATTAGTTTGCACTCCAGTTTTGCAGAGGCTTATGGTGTTCTTTTTCCCCCTGTGTGGGAGGAGAATTGTGGCACATCCAGCCTCACTCCAGGCTCTGAGCTCAGGGAACCGTAAGTGGTGCAGGGTTGCCCATAAGGTTTGTGGTTTTTACTGGGATTACCTGAACTCTGCAAGCCTTATTTTCCTCTCTGGTAAAAATGGAAGCCACGAAAAAATATCCCGGGGTAGGGTAGTGGAGTGGGTAGGGTGTTTGCCCTGCACCCGATAGGGTGCTGTGAGTTGCACCAAAAGTCATTATTGAGCACCAGAACCAGGGTAAGCCCTGAGCACCACTGAGTATGGCCCCAAAAAACACAAGAAAAAAAATATCCCATCAAGTTACATGAGGACTAAAGGGAAAAATAGATCTACAGCACTGAGTTTTTGCTAAGTATTAATTAGCAAATTTGAAATTGAAAAAATTCAATCCTTTCTCATTTTTTTTCTTTCTCCTTTTCCCCATGAATAGCAAATACAGGACCTAAAGCAAGAGTGAAGTCACATTTTCTTTTTCTTTTTGGCTTGTTGGGTCACACCCGGTGATCTCGGGTTATTCCTGCCTCTACTCTCAGGAATCACTGCTGGTGGGGCTCTGGAGACCATATGGGATGCCGGGGATTGAATCCAGTTGGGCGCGTGTCAGGTAAATACCCTATCCCAGGTACACTATCGCTCCGGCCCCTCATGTTTTCATTATGGTTGTAGGATCTGTCTGTGTAAGGCAGATTCTTGTAAATAAGCTAGAAAAACACGATGAATGAGTGAACAAATCAAAACAGTGTAGGTTATTTTATGCTTTTTGGTGGAGTGCCGGGTATTTGGGGGGGGGCGGTGGGGGGAATGCTGTGGGCCACACCCAGCGGCGTTCAGGGCTCTCTCCTGGATTGTTCCTAAGGGGTCACCCCGGCAGTGCTCGGGACCATACCTGAATGTCAGCGACTGAGCAGGGCCGGCTGCATGCAATACAAGCACCGCCTCACCCCTGCATTTTTTTCTCCCATCCATAGAAAAACTGATTTAGAGAAATAAGGGGCTGGGGAAGGTACGGGGAGAGCCATGGGTAGAGAACCCGGCTGCTCCGGGGAGGGAGGATGCTGATACTCATCTCAGGTGGAGAATCTACCATAAAGGGAAATGGGAATACCCGTTTGGGGCAGACATGGGCCAACCTCTAAGGCGGAGAAAGCCCGGAAATAGCACCAGGGCCCTGAAGCTGGACGTCCCCTGTCCCCAGCCTGATTCAGCTCCCGGGGCCAAAGGATTCACCTTGGGCCACAAACTCTCTGATGAGAGCTCTAGGCTTCCTACCTGCAGGCTGCGCCCGGCTACCCCTCACCCACACGGCGGCAGCCTTCAACCCAGGGCCTTTCTCTGCGTCCCTTTTCTCCAAGTGTCCCCAGAAAGCGCTGGAACCTGAAATCGTCCCCTCCCGCCTCGTGTATGTCTCAAGATAATAATACTGAGACCAGGAGCAGGCTGTGCTGTCGGCTGGGCTGGCAGGGCCCGGCTCCTGGGTGCCCTCCCGCCCCGAGCATCACCGTGTCGTGCCCACCTACGGGCAGGCCTGGCGTCCTTCTCGGGAAACCCCGCCGTCCGGAGGGTCCCGTCTTCAGGCCGGTCGTTCCCTGGGCATTTCAGGAGGGCGGCGGACAGGCCGTGGGGGACAGGAGGTCACGCGGTGCGGGGCTGCGCTCGCCGGGCGCGCGGCCCAGCCCGGAGCTGCCCGGGGCCCGGACCACGCCGGGGCGCGGGTTCCCGCCGGGGAGCAAAGGTCGCGGGGCGCACGCGGGGCGCACGCGGGGCGCACGCGGGGCCGTCCGTGCCTCTGTCCGGGTGGGCAGCGGGGCCGATTCTCCCTTTGTCCCGGGGGGCGGCGGGGCCGTTTCTCCCCCTGTCGCAGGGGCAGCCGCCGTCCCGTCCCTTTGTCCCGAGCTCCCGGCGGCCCGGCCCGGCCCTTTGTCCCGCGGCCGCGGCCGTCCCCGCGGGGCCGGGCTGGGGGGGGCGGCGTGCGCGGGGGGGCGCGCGGCGCGGGTGACGGGGTGACGGGGCGGCTGACGCGGCCGCGCTCCTTCCTCTTCCTCCCGGCCGGCCCCGCCTCCGCCGCCTCCGCCCGGCGCCGCCGCCAGCGCCGTCATGTCGGGCCGCGCCGGGGCCCGGATCCCGCCGCCCGGAGCCTGCGGAGCCGCCGCCGCCCCCGCGGGCCGGGCCCCCGCGCCGCAGCCCAACGGTGAGACCCGGACCGGGCGGCGGGGGCGGCCGTTGCGGGGCGGGGACGGGGGGGCCGCGGGGCGCGCGTGCGGGGCGCGGGGGGCCGGGGCGGGCGGGCGAGCGAGGCGGGGCACGCGGGGGGCGCGCGAAGGGCCCGGGCGCGCCATGCGGGGGGCGCAGAGGGCCTGGGGTGCTGGAGGCTCCGCGATGCGGGGGGCGCGGGGCGCAGGGGCCCGGGGCGGGCGGGCGATGCGGGGCACGCCGGGGGCGCGTGAGGGGCCCGGGCGCGCGATGCGGGGGGGCGCGGGGGGCCGTAGGTGCTGGGGGCGCGTTGCTGGGGGGGGGGGCGCGAGGGCCGGGGAGCCGGGATGCAGGGGGCGCTTGGTGTCCGGCGCGGGCCTCGGGGTCTGGGGGCCTCAGGGGGCGCTGCGGGGCGCGCCAGGGTTGCAGGGTTGGGGAGAGCTGGGGCTTGGAGGGTCGCACTAACTGGCTGAAACGGGATCCCATGACCGACCGCTCCGGGCCAGGCCGGGCCGGGAGATCCGGGACTGGAAGGTGCCCAGGGCAGGGGCAGGCAGGGGCTGGGGTCACCGATCACTCCCCCTCCCATCTCCCCAACCCCCGGCTCACCCTCACCCCCGACCCCCAGGTCGTGCCGGGGTCGAGGCTGGGGACCTCCGGGGCGCAGGGGCGCATGGTTGGACGGGGCGGGCTGGCGAAGGGGCGGGCGGTGCAGCCCGCTGGGGGCAGAAGTTGGCTCCCAAGTTTGGAGACAAAAGGGCGCCTGGTGGGACGTGGCTCGGCAGGACCCGGCTGGGCCTGGCACCGCCGCCCTCGGGCCCGGCCGTGCCCGGGGGCCTCGCTGGGCGCTCCCGGGCAGCAGACCGGCCAGGGGAGGGAGGCTTGGGAAATGGGCCTCTCGGGACCCCCCCCCCCCCCCACACACACACACACACCACACCACCAGTGCCGGCCACTGTTTCCGACGGGAGCTCCGGAGGACAGTTGACCGGACACTTGGGGGAAGGTCCCACGCGGGGATGCGACGCGGCCACAGCGGGTGGGGGCCCTGCCCAGCCAGCGCTGCTCTGACCTCCTTTCTGCAGTTGCCCTGCGCTCCCTGGGTGCTTTCTAAATCGCTTCGGCCGACCTCTAGTGCTCACAGCTCACCGTGCGCAGCTTTGGGCTTATCTTTGCCCCAGACCATCCCACGTTGAGATTTTTTCCCTCAGGTTTAAAAGTGATGACTTGGGACTGGGGCTGAAGTGGTGTGCAACTCCAGCCGGCAGGGCGCTTTCTTTGCATGGGGCTGACCTGGGTCCCATCCCTGGTACCCCATCTGGTGCCCAGAGCGCAGAGCCAGGAGTGATCCTGGAGCAAAAAATGAAAGAGAGAGAGAGAGAGAGAGAGAGAGAGAGAGAGAGAGAGAGAGAGAGAGAGAGAGAGAAGAAGTGATAAAGCTTCTGGCCCTTTGGGTCACCCTGGCTTGTCAGTGGATTCTTGACTGCCCAGGTCATTGTTAGCTGTAGTGTGTTATGCAGGGGGAGGTGGGTGCACCAGGGCACCCCAGTGGTAGTTCGTCCACTCCCCACTAGTCCTCAGGGTAACTCTTAGAGAGGTTGGGGACCTTAAGATGCATCACACTGAGCCTAGCTCCTGTGCAGAAGAGGCTGTCCTGGCCAGCCACCCCGGGCTATTTCCCCGCCCTGTGTCCCTCAGCTTTACCACACCCAGCGGTTGAAGCCCCGCTGCCATCCCACTCGCCCGGCCCTGGGATGGAATGCCCACTGCCAGGCCCCTTCTCTGTGGCCCCGGAGCGTGTTGAATATGGACCGTGCTCTTGTCCTGAACTTCCTGTGATTGCATCCGTGAGTAATGTTTGTTCTTGTACAGTTACTCGAAATCACTTCCCAATTTTATTTTTACTGTTCTTGTTTTTAAACAGCCTGGTGTATGTGTGTGTGTGAAGACATTGAAGCACGGTTAATAATTTGAGGTCCCAGGTTTTTATCATAGTGCTGTCAAACCACCTTTTTTCTTGTGTTTTGGACCATACCTGGTGGTGCTCAAGACGGGGTGTCGGGGACCCTGTGGGATGCTGGGGATGGAGTAGGAGTGGACCGCATCCAAGACCAGCATCCTATACGCGCTGCTTTGACTGGCCCTCAAACCACTTTTTGTTTATTTTTGTTTGGGGAGCACACCCCCAGTAATGCTCATGGCATATCCCTGGCTCTGTTCTCTGGGATCACTCAGGAATCACTCATGGCAGTGCTCAGGGATTAAACGGGTCAGCTGGATGTGTGGTCAGCGCCTTACCCCCTGTACTATTCCCAGTTCCTGGACTCTCAGCTTCAGGGCCAGGGTCACTCACACCCAGCGTGACTCAGGGCTTACTCTTGGCTCCGCACTCAAGAGTCACTCCTTGTGGGCTTGGGGTGGGGGTGCATATGGGATGCGGGGGACCACACCTGGGTCAGCCCATGCGAGGCCAGCGCCCTACTGGGGCTCTGAGCCTACACTGATGTCTAGGTAACAATGAGCCAAGGGTCATTTTCTTGACAAGAGGATGTTGTCTTAGAAAACAGTTTTTTTCAGGACCGTGTGATTTTCTTTATGCATTTTATGTCTGCTCCGGAGTTCAAGGTGGTAATTGTAATAAGGGATGCAAAACCCATAACAAAAGGGTTGAAACACTTAGGTGATGTTTGGTTTGTACTATTAGTAGTTTTCACTTTTCTTTGGCACAAGCAGGTCCCTTTTGCACTTGTCACTTACCTGCTGGGGACTCTGGATGAGCTTAGCCGTGGGCCAGCCTTCCCCTCGGCATCTCTGCCATCACCCTGGGCCTTGGGGCCAACTCCGAGTGGCTCAGCATACAGTGGGGGAGGGAAGGCTGGTTACTCTGGGGGCAGCCGGAGGCCAGCAGGCAGGATGAGAAGGGGAGAAGGTTGGGAGCAGCACTGACTGAGGCAGAGGGATGGTAACATGGACAGAGAGCCTGGACCTAGTGCCGGCCATGATTTGTGCAGGAATCTCAGCTTGGGGGACGCAGGAGGGCTGGTGGCTGCGCGGCCCCCGGTACTGCAGGTGAGGTAGCTGATCTCGGGATGATGGCTGCTGTGTGGTGTTGCTGTTCGCGGGTAAGGATGGAGCAGTCTGTCTGTAGCCTACAAAAATGAGTTACTTTTTTTCTGTCTCTCTATGAAATGCCAGATCTGGTGAAAAAGAAAGAGGTTAAGGGGACGGAGCCATCATATAGCAGGGAGGGCGCTTGTCTTACATGTGGCCGACCCAGGTTCAGTTCCCCTCATCCCAGAGTGTCCCCCGAGCACTGCCAGAAGTGATTCCTGCGTGCAGAACCAAGAGTGAGCCCTGAGCATCACTGGATATGGCCCAACATCCCCCATCATTAAAATAAAAGTAAAGAAACAAACAGGCCAGAAGTCTGAGGGTGAAGCATCACAGTGGACAGAATTATCTTTTTTTTTCCCCTTTATGGGCCACATCCAGCTGTGTTCTGGAACCCCTCCTAGCTATGCACAGGGGACCCTATGGGATGCAGGGATCGGGCCCTGCTCGGCTGAGTGCAAGGCCAGTGCCCGCCCCACTGTGGTTTTACTCCGACCCTGGAGTTGTCAGACTGGGGTGATGCCTCGAGCTGCCTTGTTAGGAGAGTTTGGGGGAGAGGGAGCACAGCCAGGTGGCGGCAGCAAGCAGGAGGTGAGTGATCTGGGGGTCCAGGTGGTGGGAGCGTCCCCTACTCTAGGGTAGCGCTGGGAGGGCAGAGGCTTTGTAAGTCAGTGCTCTGGTGTGTCTCCCAGCAGGCTGCAAGGAACAGCCTCAGCATTTGTTGGGAATGAGCCACCGGGCAGGACCTGTGGTAGGAAAGCAGACTGGCAGAGGTGACAAAGTATCTCGCTTGCCATCCGGGCCTGCCTTCCTGCCTTTCCCGGCTACCCGCTGTGCCTTGTGAAGCCCTTGCCCAGGTGCTTGTTGGTGGCGGGCCGGAGTCTGCACGCTGGGCTATGGTCCTGGTCCTGGGGGTCCTAGAGAGCAGGCAGGTCTGCTGCAACCCCGTGGTCCCGGGGAGGGGAGGGGTATTGTGGTCAGCTCTGCCAGGTGCTGCCTGGGGCCTCCAGGTGTAAGAGGTCCTTGAATATACAATGTAACCAATGCTCCTGGGGGAATTAGTCCGCTATGTTTAGTCCTGGATTTCTGGATTCAGGAGTCTTTTCTGGGGGCTGGAGTGATAATACCTAGGGTCAGTCAGCCCTGGAACCATAAGCGATCCCCAAGCATAGAGCCAGGAGTCAGCCTTCATGCCACAGGGTATCACTTCCATCAAAACACAGACACGCGCACACGCACACACACGCACACACATACACACATAAGTCTTTTTTTTTGCTTTTTGGGTCACACCTGGCACAATGCACGGGGGTTACTCTTGATTACTCCCGATGGTGCTTGTGGGACCATATGGGATGCTGGGAATCGAACCTGGGTCAGCCACGTGCAAGGCAAATGCCCTACCCACTGTGCTATTGCTCCAGCCCCAAGAATCCTTTTTAAGTTTTGGTTTTTGGGCCACACCCACCTTTGCTCCGGGCTTACTCCTGGTTCTCTGCTCAGGGATCACTCCTGGCAGGCTCAGGGGAACCATATGGGTTCATGGGGTTTGAAGTCAAATTGGATGTGTAAGTATGGCAAGCACCTTACTTATTGTACTATCTCAACAGCCCCTACAAACTTCTAGTTACATAGGTTTTTGGGCCACACCCAGCTGTGCTCAGGGCATACTCCTGGTGGTGGTCAAAGGACCATCTGGGATGTAGGGGATTGAGCCGGGTCAGCTGCGTGCAAGGCAAGGCTCTCCCCACTCTACTCCAGCCCCAAGCTTTTAGAATTATTGTTATTTGCATATGAAGTGTTAGAAGATACTTTCCAATATTTACCCTCCCTTTTAAGCCTTCCAAAACTGAATTCTCAGACAGAGCAAAATTAGTGAAATAATCT